TTTGGAGGGCAGCAGCGGTCCGAATGAAGCACCGGTCTGTCAGGACGCTATCAGTGCTTTGCAGCTGGGTCCCGGGGAACGCTTTCGGCAGCGAACAAAGGAGGCTGCCGGCCCGGGTCCTCAGTGACATAGTCTTTTTTTGTTAAACAACAAAACAGCAACGTATCTTCTATTAGAAAAAAGCCTGGTTTTATTCTGTAATTGCTTGTGCCGGTGTTTAGCTGGAAGACGATTTGGATTAGCTCTGAACAACAACTTAGGCGGGATTGGTTTTGTGTTGCTGTTCCACCCGTGTTGTATAAGCATACGGTAAAAAGGCAGAGCGTGCCTTTGACAGCAGCGAGCGCGCTGGACGAACTGCACGGTGCGAAGGAATTGCGCTCCTTGACTATAGCAGAAATGAGGTAGTTTGATGCAAGGGCAGCAGTTGTCCAGTTATTGTGTTTGGATATATGAAAAGCCTTTTTTTTTTTTAAACAGAATTTAGGCCTCCTCTTACCTTCAGCAAGAAGGACCTGCCTCTGGCGTCGCCAGTTTTTGGGCTCCTTGGAAATTGCAGCTTGCGTGGTCACCGATACATACATTTTTTATTTTTTTTTCCCTTTCTCCTCTTCCCACACCTTCCTCCCTCCCCATTTTCACAAGGACAAGTAACACTGTGTTGGTTAACGCTTATCTTTGCAGGGAAGCTAGTGACTACTTTCAGTATTTCACCACTTCCTGAGTCTGCTGCTCTATAATGTTTCCTTTGCTTCAGGAAGCCATTGTATGTACTCCATGCGTGAGCTGCTCCTCCCATATGGCTTTTGTGCATAAACATAATAGCCAGGGATCAATGAGTGGTTTCTCACTCTGTTTCTGAAGAAATTGGGGAAAAAAATTATATATTTAGTATAAAAATTAGCATGCCTGTGGCTGGAGTCGTGATCTTTAACAGCAGTAGTAAGAGCTTTCAGTAGTAATTTGCAGTTGCAGGCGACCACATGCGTTTCATTTTAAACATTGCTGGCTGTGAGACCAGTAAGTTCTGAAAGCTCCAAGACTAATAAGTTTCTGTGTTTCAAAAACTTGTACGGGCTGGTTTGGGGAGTTCGGAGGTTTTTTTGTTTGTTGTTTTAGATTTTTTTTTTTAGTTTGTGTGAAAATGAAAGAGTATTTGTTTGTGGGCTATTGGATACTGTTTGTTTGACAGGAAAATGCTTTGTTTTCAGAACTTTTTTTTTTTATGCAGTCCTTAGCTATTTCAGGAGGTTTCTTGGTGAACAGCTCTCCGGCGTGGTAGAGGTGGACTGAAACAAATGTGGTTGATCTTGTTGCTTTGTGTATGGAATCTCCCTGAAATTTGTACTGGGGGCAAGGGGGGCTAAGTGAAGGATCACAGTACATAGCATGGTTTCTTTGCCTAGAAAGTATTTCAGCTGACTCTTATTAGCAATGCATTTAAGAGGGATGGACCATGCAGCGTTAAGATCCTGAAAGAGTCAGATAGCGGTTTCCTTTCCTTTTTTTCTTGATAGAATTTTCCTAGTATATGTCCAGGCCCACGAAGTTAAAATCTGAACTTCTGATGTTAAAAATGTACAGGCGAGATCAGTATTGCCGCCTTCCAGTAAACGTATTCCACGCATACTCTAAGGCCGTGCATCTTCCCTGATGCCTTAGAGCATATGCTTCCATTCAAGGTATTGAACTTCGGCAGATACGTTCAATAGCTGCAAGACTCTGCAGTGCTGTGTTGGGATTTGACCACCAGTGTATAGATCCCGAGATGCGTTTCCACCAAGGGGAACTGTAGATTTCTGTGCCTGATCAAATTCTCTTCTCTGTAGTTCCCAGTCCTCTTGTGCTATTGGATGCTAATAATATTCAGTCTCCTGGTCAGGTGAAACAAACTTACTTCATGATCGATTTACTTCACGTGAAGCCTTGTGTACATTCAAGCGGTGCTATTTATTCTTCTGTTTCAACAAAGCCCAACCTGCCGTAAAATTAAATGTAATAATTTCTTTATTCTTACATATACAGGCAGCTGAAGAAGTTAGATGAAGATAGTTTAACTAAACAACCTGAAGAAGTATTTGATGTATTGGAGAAGCTTGGAGAAGGGTATGTGTTCTATTCCGATGTGCCCAATGTACGTTTCTCTAAGAACAAATCTATGTAATGGGTATGTGTTCAGTGGTGTCTGATTTTTCACTTTTGTCAGGATCCTATTACTGCAAAGGTATGTACTGACATAGTGACAGTGTTTGGTTAGTAACAGAATAAAGAATTTGTTTCCCAAGAGTAAGATGTCTTATCCCAAACAGTAGCTTACGGCTCAGCAGTAGGGAGTTAAAACATTGTTGAAAAACGCCAATCTGGAGTTGATAGGGCTCTGTGGGAACCCGAGAGGTTTTGTAGTTCATCCCTGGTCCCTCTTGCGGAAGATCCGCGTGGTGGAAATTAACTTCTGTTGCATTGTGCCACTTAGTAAGGCAGAGCAGCATGGGAACACTTGGTGAGTGACGTGTTTGCCTTCTTAAGCAGTTCATTTGAAAAAACTGATTTGTAAATCTGCCTGGCTGCTGTAAGTAAAGAAGCTGGAAATAAGACAGATAATATCTGACAAGAACAAGCGAACCTCTCTGACCAGAGCCATAGTTCTTCCTGATGCTCAGCTGGGACTGTATGCTGGAAAAAGAGAGAATTGTATTGGTTGGATTAGTGTAAAACGCCCTTCCAAAGCTGTGGGCAGTGTAACGATGGTTGGCTCCTTTCTGACCGTCGCAGTGTGCTGTGACTTCCTGGTATTATTATAGTGTTTAGAAGCTAGTGGACTGATTATTTACATTAAAATACAAAATATTTTTAGCAGAAGGGTAGTTAATTTTTTACCTGATGGCTGCGCTTGCGAAAAGCAAAACCATAACATTTGCATTTTAAAAATGTTATTGCATTCCATGTTTGTTCAATATTTTGTTTCATAGTTCCTATGGCAGTGTGTTCAAAGCCATTCATAAAGAAACGGGTCAAGTTGTTGCAATTAAACAAGTTCCTGTGGAATCTGACCTGCAAGAGATTATAAAGGAAATATCCATAATGCAGCAATGTGACAGGTAAATGTATACTGCAAAACCCGTTATCGGTATGCAAAGAAAAGTATTGTCTATGATCTGGCGTTTAATCAAGAAAAAGCCATGATGTTGCCTTAAATGTTTTTTAAAAGGCCGGACTTGTACGATCAAGTTACCTCGTATCAACTGAGTCATGTTAACTGACCATTTGGGTAGTGTTAATCCAAGTAAAGGTAAGACGACAAAAATTTAGCTTGCAACGAGAGAGCATTAAGCTAAGTTGAATAACCTTGCACCTGCTGCCAGCAAAGACCCAAGCGTGTGAGCAGTTACTGCGGTTCTCCCCATGCACCATCACTTGTTGAAGAGTGGTAACTTGACTGTGTGCTAGAACAGCAGTTCCCATGTCCAAAGGGGTAATGAATTCTAAACAACTTTTGGTATGGACATAGAAAACTGTTAGAAGAGGGGGTTTTGTTTCTTTGTTTTTAAGGGGCACGCGGATGAGAGCCACTAATGCATGACCGCTCTTGCATGTGCATTATCTACATGCTGCCATCTGCTTGAGTGGCAGAATTGTCCTTCCCGGCCATTTTCTGCCTGTGCAGGTTCTAGTGCGGTACAAGCTGTCTGCTGATCTGAGCATCCCCAGAATAACTTGCCGGCAGCTCTGCGGGCTGATGGTTGGCTCTCTGGGTTGTCTTTGCATGTTTCATATGGGGAAAATATGTTGTACTAACTTAGCTAACGAAGAGCTCATGGGTGCAGAAGACGTCCTCTCAAAGCGTGTCCTAGGCTGAAAGTTTAAAATACACTAATTTCTTCTGGTATTATGAATTTAGCCTTAAGAAACTCTACTTTGATGGACTTCAGGCATGGAACACCATTTAAAATATATTACATCAGCAACACAAAACTATGGTCCCAGTCACTTACTCTTTTGCAGTTCACTGTCTTTAAATGAAGGTGACTGGTGGCAGACAACAAAATGTAACTTTAAAAGAATTTGTTCACAAAAAATCTTACTGTGTAACTTGGAAAGCATTACTAGGTGTCTCTTTCCTAAAAGAAATTAAATATTAACATTGTAAGGCCTAAAATGAGACCTTACAGTTATGAACAGCAGCGGGAATGAATCACTGGAGCATCAAGTTTTCTGCGCAAGCATTAAGGGACACTGGTGGTGTGACTGACTTGCTAGTTTTACAGTTTTTCATTAGAGAATCTTCAGCAGAGAATAGATTAAGTGGACTTTTCTTCCTTGGCTCCATTCCCACAAAATCAGGAATAGTCTTTCTGTTAGTTTTCTGCTTTACCTTTTTCAGAGGACAGATGGTTATTCTGATCAATATGCTTTACTAGGTTGTTTGCTTTTTGGGCAGCCAGGTAGCTGACTGTGAGAGACAGTCCTAGGTTGTACCGGATTCCTAAAATACATCCTGGACTAAATTGTGGAAGCAAGTAGGTGCATGTGGCAGTGGGGGAACATTCCTCTTAATGAACATGATAGCTATTTTCCAGCAAACTTTGGACCTTATTTAATGTTTCCATTTGGTTGCAAATGCTCTGCAGCAACTTTATCAGGGACAGCCATGGTGTGTTTCTCATTCCCTTGTCCTGCCTTCTTGCTTGCCACAGCACTGACCTTGTTGTAATCTGGTTCAGGGAACTAAACCAGATTGAAGGCTAATGGCTCCTTATTTCTATAGGATTTCTTTTCAGACAGTTTAGCTCTCTGAACTGACTTATTGGCAGGTCAGGTGAGCACCACTGTGGGGAGGAGGCTTGGCAGGACTGCAGTAGCCCTGTGCAAGTTGAGATTTTTGGAATACTTTTGAGCAGAGTTTCAGTGGCACTTCAGCTCTGAATTTCTAAAACAGACTTAGGGACTCTGCAGTGTATTTTGGTTATTCAGTTATGCTGGTTGTGGTATTTGACCCTTTGTTTTCTCCTCCTTTTTTCACATTTCATAGTCCTCATGTGGTGAAATACTACGGCAGCTATTTTAAGAACACAGACCTGTGGATAGTCATGGAATACTGCGGCGCTGGATCTGTGTCTGATATTATTCGATTACGAAATAAAACTGTACGTCCTTTCTCCTTTGAATGTATGAATGGGAAATATGGGTGTCCAGCAGCTCAAGGAAGCAGAGTAGTTTGTGCACTGGCGTTTGGGCATAATTTTCACGGTGTTCAATGCCTGACATTGGCCATAACTTGAGATGCAGGTCCTTTGTTCCTCTGAAAATGGGAAAACTGATTACATTCATCAAGTTTTGGTTATCTGGATAATGTAATCGGTGGAGCAGATCTTGGTTTGTTGGCTTTCCTGAAAACCCAGACCAATTCTGAATAACGGACTCCACTTTGCCTTACTTTGGTTATTGCAGGATAAGAATTACTAGTTGAGAAAGGGTTATGGTATGTGAAATATGGTACATGTGTGTATGTGTTCTGGTTGTAATCTAATTCTACTACATAATGCTGTAAGTCGCTAACTAATTCCCCATTAGTATGGCAACCTTTAGTGAAGGCAATTAAATAGCAATTAGTGAATCTCAGGAAAACATAGACTGGAACACAGTAGTGTTACTCTCAGCAACTGGTAGGTTGGCAGTAACTCTTCTTTTCTTTAGCTCACAGAGGAGGAAATTGCTACAATAGTGCAATCAACACTGAAAGGACTGGAGTACCTGCATTTTATGAGGAAAATACACAGGGACATCAAAGCTGGAAATATATTGCTAAATACAGAGGGACATGCTAAACTTGCAGATTTTGGAGTGGCGGGACAACTTACAGTAAGTAAAACCAAAATGGTTGTGTACACTTCAGTTTATCTTTTTAACCTGCGTGCGAGTATGATGTGCTTGAGAAGACTTTGAGAAATTGTTCTAAACTGGTTTTTAGCGCTTTACATCAATGTAATGAGATGCTAAACCAGCAGGGATTAGAGCAGAGCTTCCCCTGTGGAAGCTGCTATACCTAAGTAATGGTTTGCAATAGCATTTGCTGTTTTCTTCAGGATATTTGTAGCTTCTGTAAGCACATTTCAGTTCCTCTTTGCAGCCCTCCGTATCCCAGTCTTGCTGAATCTAATAATAAGCATGTGTGCAAGTGAAAGATAATTAGGGTGATAATTCACTAATGGATGTTTGTGGCTTATACAATTGCCATTGTCTGGATCTTTGTTCTGCTCTTCTTCTCAGGACACCATGGCAAAGCGGAACACAGTTATAGGGACCCCATTTTGGATGGCTCCAGAAGTGATTCAAGAAATTGGGTATAATTGTGTTGCAGACATCTGGTCTCTGGGAATCACTGCAATAGAAATGGCTGAAGGCAAGCCACCATATGCAGATATTCATCCTATGAGGGTAAAGACTGTGGCCTTTTAAAATGTATTGCTGCATGGAAAGGATTTGCTATTATAGCTAGCTGAATAACATCAACATACCATCTTGCTTTTAATTTAGAGTAAATGATTTGTTTTCTGTCGGTTCTTTGTACTGTTAATTAAATGAAAAACAGGTCTTTGAGAAGGAGAATCTACATGGGAAGGAAAATCACAATCCTCTTCTGTTAAGACATAGCGGAAGCTCCCTGTGTTGGATGTGAAGAAACATATTTTCAGCTATATTATCCAAAGCAGTTTTTTTTTATGCAAGCACAAATTTTTAAGACTTAAAAATGGCAGATTCACACCTTTTGGGGCATATAATGGCTCAGACAGAGGTGTAAGCACCTGGTGGGAAAAGTCTGAGTTCTTGCTACTTGATCCCTCTGAGCAAATTTGTGTATCATATTGGCAGGAACTCTGCAGAAGAAGCAAACTTAATGTCTATCGTTCTTTAGTACCAGTGTATGTTTGTGTGTATTTATGTTGTATTGTTGGAAAGCTTTAAACTTTGTTTGGAAATCTGGAATATTCTTCTGTTTTCAGGCAATTTTCATGATTCCTACCAATCCTCCTCCAACATTCCGGAGACCAGAGCTCTGGTCAGACAGTTTTACGGACTTTGTAAAACAGTGTCTTGTTAAGAGCCCGGAGCAGCGTGCCACTGCAACACAGCTTCTGCAGGTCTGCCTTTTCTTACAAGAACATAAGGTCTAGAGGAGGCTTGCTAGGGTAGGCAGTGCTGCGTGTCTATGGAGATGTTGGTTTCATTTCTTGCTGCTCCTGCTCACTACAGATTTTACTTTTTAATATCTCATTTTAAAAATCTTACACTCAACTTCAACTTTTCAGTTCCTCTCTAAGAACCAGTCTAACTTCAGCTTCCTATCTTTGTCTTCTCTGGTTTGGTTTTTTTTTGTTTGTTAAGCTTTCGGAGTTTTTCTTTTTTACTTTCAGATTCTCACCAGCACTGCCAAGAAACCGCCTCTTAAAACGCTAAAAAAGAGAGGCTAAATGAAAGCGATTGCTCAGAATAGTCTAGGCGTGGTGATGATCTGTGTAGTTGGTTCTTGACAGCTAAGCTGCTAAGGAAAGAAATAAGTAGGGTGGTGGGAGGGGAATGAGCCCAAGGTCTCGCAGCAGTAGTGCCTCTGTAGCGTGTTTGGAGGGTGGGAGGTCTCCCTCCTGTGCCAAACGGAAGTACTGGATTTTTATTTTAGTAATGCATTGAGTTAAACCTTAATTTTGTTTGGAAGTAGGCCATAGTAACAGTGTTTTGCTGTTATGTCTTGGTTCGGATGCAGTGCTTATTTGTTTTTAAAATACTTCTCAGCATCCATTTGTTAAAAGTGCCAAAGGAGTGTCAATCCTGCGAGACTTGATTAATGAAGCGATGGATATCAAGCTGAAACGTCAAGAGGCACAACAGCGTGAACTAGATCAAGATGATGAAGAAAATTCAGTGAGTATTTAATAGCAACAGTGTACGAAGTCCAAACTCTTGCTCCTTTCATAAGGCTTAGCTGCTTTGGGTTTTGGTTTTGCAATATTTTGTCCAGTTGCCCACGGATTTGACTTAGTTCTCGAGTTTTCTACTTTATGACTGCTTAACCTGATGCTTAGTCTCTGCTCAATCTTTATATTTGAGTCGGATAGCCAGCATGTATGGCTTATTGTTTAGCTTAGAGTGTAGCTAGAGACCTGTGATTGAGTAAGTCTACAAAGTAGTGTATGCAAAAGACTTGATACGTTTTCCCAGTTGGATTATATTATTTATGCAGTAATGAGAATTCTTCATTGTAGATTCAGTTCTTAGACTGCTCTTCTAGTATAAAATAATAATATCGTCTGTGATGCACTATGATATAAGTATGTTATATTGTTTTACTATTGTTGTGCTTTAGAACCCCCCTTATAGAAACTTTCTACTACACAAGAGCAACCGACAGAAACCTGAGGTGAGGGCATGACAAGTGTCCAGGGGATTGCTGTGAATTTAAGCTCGGGCTCCTTGTTTCAGTGGTTACAGCATGTGAATATGGAAAGCATGTTGAAAGCTGTTTTTTGAGCCTCTGCCTGCTTCAACCTGAATAAATGAAACGGGCAACAAAAGGCATTGTATGCCAGAGTCCTTTTCAGAGGTTAGACTTGAATAGCATGGTCCACAGTATCTATGCTGAAGACATTGTTCATCTAGTTTTCCATTTAGGACTGCCTATTTGTTCAGTGTGGAAGTAATTTTATTGGTCATGTTGCCATGATGTTGACTCTAAGAGTATTGTCCCTACCCTCTCTCCTTCATTTCTGACTGATCCGGAGTCACACTGCTGAGAGATGGTGTCTATGTAGTGGAGTTGAGTGGTCTCCGTCGGTGTGTGTGTTTTCCCAAAGCTTCTCTACTCCATGTCTGCTAGCAGAAAAGTGTTCCCCAGCACTTCCCAAGTGCTGCAGAAATTTCTGCTGTAGTCCTTTGTTAAATGATGTGTAGCTAACATTTATTACTTCCTCTCACCCACTCATCTCCACATAAAATTACTTTTCCTCCATTAATATCTCGTGTAGTTTTTCTCCTCCTCTTGCTATTGGTTTTGAGGTTGGGAAGTAAATTATTATAGACACCCTTGACAGAACAGATAAAATGCATGGAAGACCAGAACGTGGAGGGGTGTACTTCTTACTTTCAGTGACACTGAGATGGAGTATTACAGCTTGATGTGCGAGTCCTGTGTTTTCCCTCTAACACTAATACAGATCAGTAAGCCCGTGGTCACACATAAAGAACTGTGAACTTCATCCTTATAAGATCCAAGGTGAGATGCCTAGAAACTCTACTGCAAACCTAGGAACTGACTTCTCTTCTTGTAGTTGGATAGCTGGTTCACATTTCCAAGAAACTAAATAGATTGTGGAAATTTGTTCTTCATGAAATCCTAGTCACAATATAGAGTTAGTGAAGCACACACCACCGAATAAAACTACTACCTCTGGCTAACTTAATCAGCTGCCAGGAAGTTGTCCTACCAGAATTTGTTTCAGGAGCTTGTGTTTTCCTACAGAGTCAGCCTCTTGAGCCTCGACAGCAATAATTCAAACTTCTTAATATTAGTACCTGGTAAGAAATGGAAAGATAAGAAATAATTTTCATCTGAAAAAAATGACTAGACTTCGATAATTTATTTCATTACTTTTTAAAGATTTGCAAATTCAGTTCATTTTTCTTCAGTGCTTCTGAAGTATACAGCAGGTAAAACTACCTAAATGTTAAAGACAGACTCCTAAAAAATAGGGTGATCGTTTTTCTTCAGTGTGCCACATGCACTCCAGACTTAGACCTGTTGCTGTCTAATAACTAATGACTCCTCAGTGAACTGTACCACTTGAGATAGGAGTTTTAGGTCAACTGTTAAAACTGGCAACTTTCCTAGAAACACTGATGACTGAATGAGTATTGTAATCTACTCTTACAGACAGGTCACCAGGTCAGAAATGAGATACAAGTTGCATTGAGAAGCTTTTGCTGATTATTTATCTGTTCTCTTATTTATCAAGCTGGCAGAAAAGTATGACGACTTTTCATTACCTGCTTGGAGATGACAGGGAGAGAACTAAGTGCATAAAACAAAATGTCGTTGGCCTCCATGTGTATTTGTAAAAATCTCTGAGTTAGTCTGACTTGCTAGTGTCCTTGAATACAGACACTCTCATGGGACTTCACCACCATCAGTAAAAATGTACTTATGGCATCCTTTTACAGGAAGAAGATGAAACAGATTCAGGTACCATGGTGAGGGCGAGCGGAGATGAAACTGGTACCATAAGAGCTGTCAACACGATGAGTGATGGAGCCAACACAATGATAGAGCATGATGGCACCCTGGAATCCCAGCTGGGTACAATGGTCATAAACACAGAAGAGGAAGAGGAGGAGGGCACCATGAAAAGTAAGAAAACATCTTTAACTTCTAGAAAATTACTTAGGACCTAATGTGGGCTATGATATGTATTCCCAACCTGCTTTGATGTTTTTGGTAGCTTATTGTGATGTCTTTTGGTTTTAGGGACCTAAAACTCCTAGGTCGATGCCCTCTGACAATAGAGAAGAGAGACCCTTTCTAGGTCCAGGTTTCAAGCCATTCTTTTTAGTCTTGCACTTGGTGTAGCTCGTGAGTTGTACACAATTTCCACAGGCTTCTGTGCTGATCAAATAAGATCTGATTCTAGCTAGTATGGGGTTTTTTGTTGGTTCTTTTTTGTCTGTTTTGTCTTTTTCACAGAATGTAGAGAAGGGAGACTCTAGCAAAGGGTTGATAAAAAAATTTGTGCTGCTTTAGAAGGTGATCTGGCTGTGACCTGGCATCTGAAAGCAGCAAGTCTGTTTCAGAACTGATGCATCAAATCAAGGGCTACATTTATGAAATGACAAATACCTTGCACCTTTCAAGCACAGTAAGGCACACAGTGGGAGGAGCTAGCATCTCTCCAGACTTCAGTGTTTCTTTAGTGTTACTTTAATCACTGAGGACAACTGAATAAACTGTGTGTTGCTGTCCTGAGACATTCAAGCTGAAACCCATTCCACACTAAAATGGAAAAGCTGAGTAAAACTACAAGCCTTGTCATAGGATGTAAGATTTAAAATTATGTATCTTTGATCCCCGATAGTCTGTGGAAGACATCACAGCTTGACCTGGAAGAGGGTTAAAAACTTATTTTTTTTTTTTTTTTGATTAAAGAGATGACAGGGAGAGCCTCCTTGGAAAAGTATGACTAGAAGAAAAAGAATATTTTTCTCAATTATGGATTTTCATAGAAATCCATTTCCACAGATTTGGTAGTCTCAACAGTATTAAAGCAGAGGTCATAGATGACTCAGCTGGCCAGCATGGATGTTTGTTCCAGGACCAAGGAAAGTGCTGAGTGGGGGCTCAGCAGTAGTAAAATATGACCATCATAGGCAAGGCTTGTTCTTCTGGCTCTTGCGCTGCTTCCAAAGACTTCCTTGGCCATCTGATTTTGAACCTTTAGCTATTGTGGGAGAGGAAAAAATTCTCAGCAGGAGTTTGGAGAAATCCTTTTCTCGTGACTTTCTGTGTTGAAAGCTTCTTCCATGTGGGGGCCCTCTAGAGCTTGTGGAAAGATACTGTTTTCGAGAGTGAAATTTCAGCAGAACCAGTTTAGAGTTTCCCAATCTTTGGCAAACACTGATTCAGCACGTTAAAAACTAGAGGTGTCAGCCCATGTAGCAGCTTGTGGCAACAAAGATGATGGAGTAATGCCATCGGGTGTTGTGGAACAAGGTAGCTCCAGCAAGGAGACAGATGGATGCTTAGAGTAGCTAAAAGGTCACCCAAAGAGTGGCACATGTTAACAGCCTTAAATAAATCAAGTGAGGTTGCAGTTTCTTTACAAATAGACAACACTTAATTTCCCATCATCAGTGTGTACTGTTCCATTTCATGATTCACAATAACAGAGGTTTTACTGTCTGTGGTGCTCCTGCACTGGCTACCAAAGGTGTGTAAGTAAAGCACCTCTTCAGTTTATCTTCTTGTGTTTAACACGTGCTTCTCTTCTCACCATCTTTTTAAGATTGCAGTGCTTGTAACTCAAAAGCATCTAATGCCCTCCGTGAAGTAGTGTACAGAGGTTTGAGGAGATGCCTTTGATAATACCTCTTTTGCAAGGACAGACTTTCATTTTGAGTAGAATCCGTTATGAGGATATAGCAATGTCTTTAATATAGTGTAGTATCTAACCTCAAGAGGGAGCTCCAGAACAAGCTCTAAGAGCTCTAGATCTCTGTGACTAGAAAGTTCAGTTTTTATTTTAACCCCCCCTTAGACTTCAGACTTCTTAAAAGCACTCTGTTCTTCAACTGCTGCTGTGTAACAGTATTCAAAGCTGAGTATGTGGCAGCAGTGCTTGAGCAGCTCTGCCTTCTGGAGGAAGCGTTCTGAGATCCTGGGTGCAAATGATGGCTGACACTGGTGCCGCTTTCGTGTCGATGGGTTTCACACAGTAGTATCTAGTGAAACCCAGCTGCACTCAGCGCGCTCTCTGCTGCAGGTTGTGCTGCATTTTAATAACTTGTACCTTGATTCCAAGAAATCTGATGTTAATGAGAATGATTGATTGTACCAGGCTAAAACTTAACTCTTCCTTAACACCTTATTCTCCTCCGTCCCCAGTAGCATAATTCTGAAATTCTGAAAACTGCTGCACTGAGCAGTTCTGTGTTTTTCTTGGACGCACTGCAAGGCAGTGTCTTTGTGCAGCTTGCCCTTCATTGAATTGCCTATAGCTCCACTTTGCAGCTCGCCGTTTCCATATTCATGTTCTCATAACATTCAGTTAAATTGATTTAACTGTAAAGCTCATCAGCCTGCTGCAGAACTCTCTGGAGCAAGTTCTTTTTGTAATCTTAAATATAAATGTAATAATGCTGTTTGGAAACCACTGAGTTTGAAGAAGCTTCATTGATTCATATTTTTTAAAGATGTCTATATTTCATTTGGCAGCTTGTGTTATGACTCACAATAAAACCTGTTTTAAGTCAATAAAGAAGTTCTGATTTTTCTTGCATGGCATTAGTAGGAGAATTTAGCTTCCCTAGGTGTCTTGGGCTTTTTAACTGTAGGCTTCTGAGCTTGTGTTCTGGCCCTTCCTCCTAATATAAAAAAAAAATCTGTGTCTTCACCAGGTTTTGGTTTGGTTTTATTTCTTTTTAATGTAAAAAGTGTTTATAGGACATTGAAATGTGATGCTTTAGATAGGAGTGTCTTGGAAATCTCTAGCAAACAATTTCCAATAGTCTTGAAAGTGATTCTTGCATAAATCAATTCATGACTTGTCAGGCTCAGAGGAAAAGCATTCTTAAATTCCAGTATTTTACATTGTAGGGGAAGTTTTGTTCTGTAGTCAATTGAGCTGTAATTCTGTTTGCTTAAATTCTTTCGTTTGCTTGGTTTTTTTCTGGCCACTCGATATAAATAGGCAGCATTAAAAATGTCGCTATGACACTCTGTTACGCATTTTGAAAGCACTCAAGTGATTGCCTGAAACCGCAGATACTAAATTGCACTGCGACACATTTTACTTATAAATTGATTGCTAACAGATTACTTATGGGTTGCGGTTAAACTATTCCAGCAAAACTTTGGAAGTAGCTGAAGAACTATAGATGAACAATCATTTGTAACAACAGACATTTCCATTGTGCTCGAGAGCTGGAATAACTTTTGAACTGTTAATATGTCTGAAGTAATCTTTTTTAATTTTTCTATGAGAGAATATATAATGCTAGTAAAAAGTGCAGCATTTTTTACTCTTTCTTTTTTTGCTTTTTCTGCTTTATTTGCTGTAGGTCTTTAAATAGTGGAAACTTGGCATGAGTTTGTCTCTTCGATTTAAAGAGTGGAACGTAATTTTATAATAAAGCAGATAAACATATTGCCTTCCTTGGACTCTGCAATATGATCAGGTCCAAGTGAAATAGGATCTAGTTTGTCTAGTACTATAATCTGTCCTATTTTCTATGTTAAAGCGCCTCTTGCTTGTTTAAGCACCAAATAAAACAACACTGGAGAATGTAGAACTGCCAACAGTGGTGTGAGTTGGGCTGTCTGTTTTTTGGGTCAAGGTGAATGAGGGATCTGGAGAGGGTGAAAGAATTGTGGGTGTGGGGTTTTTGTTAATGTGGCATGCATTCAGTAGAGCATCTCATGCAGAGATAGACCAGAAGCTCTGATAACGCTGTTGCCTCTGCTTTGATAATGCAATGTGCAGGTAAAAATTCTTGATAGTTTGTGAATGTTTAAAATAAAAATTTCTAGGCTTAATTCTTATAATAAAGTTAGGGGTGGTTTGGGTTTTGTTCTGCTTTTGCCATGCCCCCGCTGCTAAGCATGGTTGTGTTCCTTTTAAAAAGATACTCACCCTTTTGAGGGGAGATTGGGTTTCATTAGCAAATGAAATGAGCTAAGATGCAAACTTGGCAACTTTCTATTAGAAAAATGATTCAGACTAAGCTTGTTAGTCTTGGTGGCTTTGTGAGACATCCAGTGGGTGACACTTAAACCTAAACCAGAGAAGTGTTACTGCCAAGACTCAGGGAACTTTTTGTCTCCACTAATAAACCTGTAATTTGTCATGTAAAGCAATCACTGTAAAAGCTGTAATGTGAACAACAGAATGAATATGGATGGCAGAAGGTTTATGTGATTGCATTAATATTATAATTGAATAAAGTGTTACTGGTGCGTAGCTGAGGTAGCTATAGGTGGTGTAATATCAGTAGTTGTCCAAAAATGTGTAGATGCATGTTATCCAAATCGCTAATGCAGGTACTGTAGAGAATAGCTCCGCGTTTTGTCAGTATTTACATTATGTGTATGTCAAAGATATTGGCTGTGTTTTGCCTCTGTGTTTCTCTGTAGACAGTAGCTCTTCGTAGCAGCTTCCCACTACTTAGTGTTATTAATGTCCAGTGGTACATTTCTGTATTTAAAATAAATCGGTCCATTTAGGCATAATTGGACCATAAAACACTCTTAGCGTTACGCATTTAAATAACATACCTTTTACAGAAACACCTACACTGATTAAATTCTTCTCGAACTGTAAGAAGCATTGTACTGCCACTCTTGAGGTGTAGAGAGTACAAATCTTCAGATAAGTCTTCTAGCTGTGTTACTTTTCTTTTATCTTAGTAGCAGCCTCGCTGGCAAACTTGACATAAACAGCGGCCAGCACATTTTGTTTAAGGCTATCAAGTTGTGCAGACATGCGGACAGTATTTTTGAGCGATGGAAGGAGTTGTGTATGCTGTCTTTTTGTCGTTGGGTTTTTGCTGTGGGTTTTGGTTTTTCTGTTTGAAGAGTGGTAGGCTACTGGAGTTCTGTGCAGCGTGTTAGCAATTGAAATAGTGGTTCTGTGCAGGCTG